TTGAACTGAAGTCCTGCGATATAGATTTTGTGACTGAAATTGATAAAAAGGTTGAACAGACATTAATAGATGGTCTTTCAGAAAAGTTCCCTTCACATAAATTTATTGGTGAAGAATCTGTGGCCGATGGCGCAAAATGCATCCTTACTGATGATCCAACTTGGGTCATCGATCCTGTAGATGGAACAATGAATTTTGTGCATGGATTTCCTCACAGTTGTATTTCTCTTGGATTAGTCATCAATAAAATATCAGTTGCTGGGATAATTTATAATCCAATATTAGAACAGTTATTCACAGCAAAGAAAGGCCAGGGTGCGTTTTTGAATGGGCGACAAATACATGTTTCCCAAGTGAAAGAACTTCGTAATGCTTTGATAGCATTTGAAGCAGGAACAAGTCGTGATGAAGAAAGAACCAAAATTGTATTTGAAAATTATAAACAGATAGTAAGTAAAGGACATGGGGTGCGATCATTAGGCTCTGCAGCTTTGAATATGGCTATGGTAGCTTTGGGTGGTGCTGATGCCAACTTTGAATTTGGTATTCATGCTTGGGATGTAGCTGCGGGTGACATTATAGTTAGGGAGGCTGGTGGTGTTTGCATAGATCCAGCTGGGGGTCCATTCGATATACTATCAAGGAGAGTTCTGTGTGCCGCTACTCCAGAATTAGCCCAAGAGATATCTAAAGTTTTATGCCAATATTATCCAGAGAGGGATTAGGTTAATTGCATATTATATAATATATTGTGTTGGAGGCTGGTTATGATATGCTTAGTGCTTTTCTCTGTTGTGCAATAAGAACAGTTACAATTATATAATTATTTCCTAAAATATTTAAAATGCTAGTTGAAACATTAGGTGTGAAATAAGTTCAGTATTAAATGTGTATTTGTGCAATAACATATGTAATACATTATTGTTTGTTCCATGTTATTTTAATTTTCGATTGATTATTAAGAAGATATTTAACTAAGTTTTTATTGCTTAAAATTGTAATATAATTAAAAGGATTTAGTGTGATTGCTATACTGCTACAATTCTATATCATAAAATGAAATCTAGCAGAATAAATAAAATTTTGCCGTTATTCTGCTGGATTTTATTAGCAGAGAAATAGGAAATCATAACGGTTTTCTTTGCTACTTTTTCGGTACTTTCTACTACTCTTTCTATATAATAGTTACAGAATGATTGATTACTTAGTAGTTTTTTTATTTTATATGTATAATTATAAGCTGTGTTATTATTGAGTTTTATTTTAATCTTAATGGCTTAGTCTTAATTGGTCTGATTCTTAAGTTCAGTTCAGGAAAATGGTACTGTAATTAGTTGACTAGTTGTGTGTGGACATGAGGGTAATTTGAATGAAATTAAATTTCAGTTATTTTATGAGAGTTTATTTACATTTAACATATTATAACTTTGCAAAACTTGAATAATCTGTCAAAATGCATTAAAATTGCAATCAATACTCAAATGCATTTGATAAATTGTATCATGTGTTGCAAATATTGTTCTATTTATTTTACTTATAAAGTATATTGCAATTACATAGTGTATGTGTTTTTATTATTATATGACATTGTATGATTAATTATACACCTATTATATTATGTCTGTTTTTTAATTAAATACATCATGTATGTGTTTCAATACTATGTCTTTATTTTTCTACATTTCAGTATGTCATGGTGTTCTATCGGTCATTGTCTTGTCTCATGTCTTACATTATACAATAATTGTGGTTTTAGTTTCCTTTTTAGGGTTCCGTTTCTGAAGGGTAACCAACGGGATTCTATTACTAAGACCGTACGCTGTCTGTCCGTCAGTCTGTATGTCAGGGGGCTGTATCTTATGAGCCGTAATAGGTATACAATTAAAATTTTCACAGAATGTGTATTATGTTGCCGCTATAACAGCAAATCATAAGAAAATAAAGGGGCCCCCATACTAAAAAAATTGTTTTTACAATGGTGTGCTTCATGTGCGAGTCCGACTTGCACTTGGCCTGTTTTTTTTATTTACCTTTATTGATTATTAGTAACAATTAGTACAAACAAAAAATGGAATAATTTTTGATATTATTTATTATTAAGGCAAATAAGGAAATGAATACTCTGCAAATTAATAGCTTTTATCTTTATATGATGTGATAAGTTACACTGAAATATAAACAATTTCTGTCATGAAATATTTTTTGATATTATTTATTCATAAGAAAAAGCAAATAAGGAAATGAATACTTTGCAAATAAATATGATGCTTTTATCTTTATATGATGTGATAAGCTGATAAGTTACACTGAAATATAAATATTTTCTGTCATAGTGGTTTAGCTATTGTCATATTATAACCTAAGAACAAAAGAGCAATATTCAGTTTTTATATACATTTTATATATATTCGGTCATTATATACAAGGTATTATGGCATATCATACAATAAATGATAACCATGTCATTACAATTATAGTAACTAGTTCTGCAAATTCTTGTCTATATAAAAAAGTGTGTATAAAATATTTTAAATGAGTTACACCACTATAACATAAAATTTAAGAGTGGCAAGTGGCAAAAGCCAAAAAATAAAGTAGCTTTATTTATTTTGTAGGTAGGTACTATATTATTTCTTGAACCAATCAAGCTTCCGCCTAGTATCTATCTATCTAATAATAATACCTTTAAACGAGCAATTCTCCGTACACTACCCCAAAACCTGCAGCTACTTCTCAATATACATATTATATATATATATATATATATATATATATATATATATATATATATATATAAATATATATAAAAATATATATAATCTGATTCTCGGAAATGGCTCCAACAATTTTCATAAAACTTAGTGTCCAGGGGGTTTCGGGGGCAATAAATTGATCTTGCTAGGATTCATTTTTAGAAAATGTTTTATCCGTATTTTCAGGCAATGAATAACTGCTACAATAGCATTAGAATAAGAAGGTAAATTTTGGTAATGCGTTAATGGTTATAATAGCTTAAATGGAATATCGGGCGACCTGTCCTTAGGGCCGACTTTTTTCAATTTTCCTTTTGTGAGAAAATTTATTATTTCGAGCCCTTTTTTAGTATTTTTAAGCTATTGCATAGCTTCTATCGCGGGCCTTGAGCGCGGGGACCGAATCCAGAAATTCCGTAACGAAAAAACCTCACGCTCCCCACTCCGACGGGCACGGAGGTGTGGCTTGAAGACCGTGCATTGTCTAACGTCGTTTCTTTTCGGCAGTCTTCGACACGGTGTTTGTGTGCGTGCAACCTAGACGTATTGTACGACTCTACGAAGCTCGCACGAATCGAGACGAGCTGCTCCGAAATCGGACGAATACATAAGCAGCTGTTTATGAGAAAGTATATAGGTGTATAGGTATTTATGTACAACAGTGAATAGCTGTACTTGTAAAATATAAAGTGTTTTGAATATGAATGAACAAAGTGCATTTATTATATATTTATTTAATAAAAGAAAAAAAAAATTGAAAATAAAGAAAAAGAATTTTTTTTCTTATCGGTCACCACGCTCAAAAAGTGTAACTTGAATTAATATCAAAGAAAAAGAAATACTGTATAAATAAAATAAAGAAATAATTATAATTGCATAAGTTGATACAAAATGCTATGCAATAGCTTTACCGCGGCTGTCCCCGAGTGCCACACGTCTTTTTTTTTTTAAAAACACGTAAATTTATATTAAAGTTATTGCACTCATGATTTTTCATTCAAACGACCAGTTCAGTTTTTTCTATTATGTCGGTAAGATCAAAAATATTATTCAAATTTCATCAGTATGTAATTTGTATCTAAATATAATTTCCAAAACACATGATTTCCAAAATAAAAAATAAAAAAATACCGAGCAAAGCTCGGTAATCCAGGTACTACTTATTTATATACGTAGATAAATAACTTTACTAGGCGAAGATTGAATGGTTCAATCATTTCTATGGTTAGGTTATTTTCACATCAAGTGTGAAAATAACCGTATAAAATTTTTGCTGAACAATACTGGATGTAATTACTTGATTTTTTTGTGTATGATAAAGAACAATGTAGTTAGTTGTACCATTTATTGTATGTAAGGCGGCGTTACCTGTATATTTTAGTAATATTTGATATATGATAAAGATACTACTTATATAAAGTTCTGTTTATTAACATGTTAGATTAAAAAAAAAGCAGTCGTCGGCTCATCAGTTGCTGCTGTATTATTAACCTATTAAAATAAGGATGTATATCATCAATATAAGTTCATTTCGCGGTTTTTTCTATAAACATATTTAAAAAATCTTACATTTTAAGTTTTGCGATTAATTTTCCAATTTTTTTTATTACTAGCTGGTCTCCGTCACTTGTCCGCGTGGAATTTATTACGTTATACGTTTGGGTTTTATTAGCTTTTAATTGGTTTGCGAGGAACACCAATACTTTTCTGTTTCAGAGTCAATAATGAAAGTTAAAATTTCGACATTGTGATGTCACATTTAAATATGCGATTCTAACGTTTATTAAATAATACCTAGTTAAGATTCAGAACTTTTACTAAAAAAATTAGAGTGGTTAGATTAACTTCGGTCAGTCGCGTTAATGCGAGTCACAGTCATTAGTTGTCAGAAATCAGAATTGTCATGTATAACATATGGTTACGCGGACCATCTCTCTGTTTCACGCAGCTGGCTTTTGTGAAGCTGCAGGTCATCAGTATAATTAGTTATTTGAAAGTCTATCTTTTATAGTTTGCATTTACTGTCAATTCTAAAACGTCAGTCTTAACGTCAAGTCAAAATAAAGTCATGTCTTGTCATAGTCGCAAACAACAATAACGATTGAACCGCTTTCAATTTATACACTGAAGTTTTTTTGTATTGTATCAACGGGATGTCTTTAATCATATGTCATGACATTTGAGCCAATTTTAAATCGAAGACAACTCGTTAATTTAAAGCAAAGGCTACGGGTAGCAATTTCTTATCTACATTCTTCCTGGTCGACGTCTTAAAGGACGCGATAGATCCATAGGCCTCGGTATTTCCCAAAGTGCGTGAGGGTCGGCTTTGAGAGAGGGCATACGACGCGATAAGCTTTCATGTAGATCCTCATTTTCTTCGTATACTGCCCACTGCGATGGACTGCAAAGAAAAGTAAAATTAAGGATTAGATCTAAAGGGTTAATTCTAATTTTATTCCGTAATCCGCATCGGCCAAAAAGGGCCCTTTGTTCGAAACAATTTTAAGTTTGCGACCACAGACATAATATTAATTACTATAATAAAAATAAAATAGTCGGCTATTCATTGAGGCTTAAGGCTCCAGTACACGTGACCGAACGCGCTCGGCAAATTTTCGTGGTGCCGTTCACACGTTGGCGTGTTTGCGTTGATAGCTAGAAGAAGATAGATGTACAGGCGATCGAAAAAAACTAGACATACAACAATAGTCCCGGACTGTCCTTTTTAGGGTTCTACCTTAAAAGGAAACAAGAAACTAATAGGATATACTAGCTGACCCGTGCCCGCTTCGCTGGGCGTATTTTCAAAATCAAAGATAGCCCAAAAGTAGCCTCTAAGTTACATTATCTCTGAGCAACATAAACTCAGAGATAATTTATAATATTAATTATCATTAGGTAGTTACTCTGAAATCGCAACTAAACGTGTATTATTTAATGCAGTTAGGTAAGTTACTAAATCTGGTTTTATTTTTATGTTACTCATGCTTCGGGTTCCATATAACTGATTCATTGTGATCAATGACCTAAATATTTCCTCATTAGTCCATGTTGCCATGTTCGTGAAACAATTTTATTAAGCCGACACTACGGTCTACTCCGACGCGTAACTATGAACTGAACACTCGGCCAACGTGTGATCGCCACAGAACACAATGAACAGAACAGAATGATTGTTGATTATAGTACCCTTAGGCGGGGTGATAGCTGATTGCGGCTTGCGCCAAATTTCGTTGATTTGTGCACGGAAAACCGACACTATTTGGCTTGTCGGCGAGTGTAGTTACACAAAAACGGCCCAGTACACATTAGTGTACTGCTATCTTTAGAGTAATTATTTTACATCACTGACCTCTATATAGGTACCTATACAAGCACTGTACCTATATATATATATATATATATATATATATATATATATATATATATCGAGTTCAGTGTTTTACATACAAACTATGGAGTGTTACCTCTACACTCCATAATACAAATTACAAAGTACAAACGTATGAATAAGGCGGCATGAGGTAAACAAACCACAGACAACAGAGATTGTTATTTATGACAGACTATCATAATTTCTCTGTCTACGATCATAATATATTTTTTTCTGTGTAACTGAAACCGTGGAGGTTAGAGAGCAAGAGAACGATCGCTACGTGCTAAAGTATAGCTTTACGTCTGTCCCCGAAAATTTGTAGAACTTATAGCTGCACTGCCGTCGCTAAGTAGTATCTGCGAAGTTACCTGTTTATGAGTACAAGTAGATGAAGTTAGTTGAATAATGTACAAATTTAATCGTAAAAATATAGTGCTCCGTAATTTTTTATTTCATCTATTTTAAGAAAATAAATAATAATGAATGGATAATAATTAATAATTTATATTTCTAATATTTATAAAAAACATAATTTATAATTTATTTATTTATAAATAATAATAATTTCGTTATTTTCTTTGAATGTTATATAGATCATTTAAAACTAGCGTACAACAGCCGGCTATTATAGAGGCAACTTAGCGATCGCAGCGCCTCACTAATTTTGTTCATAATTCTGAGACACTATTTTCTACAGCGATCGTTTTCCTTCTCTCTAACCTCCATATGTGAAACAAATAAAATGTTATAAGAGGGAGTTTTGGCGGGAATTTGGCAGTCGACGGATTGTCGCTCCTGTTTTGTCGCTTGAATAATGGAAAAATAATGGTTTGAAATGGATTTTAATTCGTAAAAGTGATGCGATTTTATGAATTAATTGTCTGTGCGTGTGAACTGTTAGAGAAAACGACGAAACAAGTGCTTTGATCTTGATATAAATCTCAAGTTAATTTGATCGCTTGGGCGCCTTATGAACTGGTGCTGTCGTCATCAACTGTAAGCGGGGTTGAGCTGTCGTCAAAATCTTCCAAAAACTTTGCAATGTGCCGCATCAGTATATTGCAAATAAAAAATATATAAAAATGAAGATACCAAAAGAAATGATAGGCTCAGAAGGGCTAAAACCCAGAGTCGTAAAGCCAGTTAATTAAAATTATATTAAAATATTATGAGATCAGGAGTTTTTGGCGGGAACTTGACCGTCGACGGATTGTGTGTAATGCGGGTGTATCTAGTTAGTTTGTGGTGTAATGTCTTGAAGTGGATTTCGATGCGTAAGTGATGCGATTTTGAGTATTAAGGCCGAATACGACGCGAATGACGTTGCTCGTTTCGCAGCAAACCACGCGCCGCCAGTACCTACGCTTTGTTTATATAGACATGTATAATACCTATAATCAAAGCCGTACGGGCTTTGATTATATTTGACTGAGCTAGCTCAGATGCAGAGTAATGAACAACACAGAGAGCATTGCTTACTTCTTAAATAAATTTTTCTTATTTATAATGTTAGTTCCTATAGATTATAAATTCTATACTTTATTCGTTATAAAATATTGTTCGAAAAGTTATTGAATTGATAACGATTTTTTTTCTTAATTGGTGCATCGTACGTAAAGAGCCTCATATAACTGAAAATGTTTGTTCTTGTGAGTCTTACAAGATGCCGTAATGCAAATTGCATAAATAATAAAGAAAAAAAAACTAAAAAGTCGGTGATTGCCCCATAGTGGGGATAGGTACTGTGTATGTAAATTCTCACAAGACTACTCCGACTGGTCAATCACTTCACATCCGAAGTATTTCGGTTTTTCTTAATTATGTCTTACCCCATGCTTTCGGACAATACATTGACTGACATTATTTGCGGTCTCTGTGCTTGCACTACTCTGTACATTCTTTTCAGACTGGGTCTTGATATTTACATTTTTAGTGTTTCTCACTTGAAACTAGAAAAGTATAAATGATCAGTTTGGCTAATGTAAATGAGTAAAAATGCAACCTATTAGGCAGCCTCAAACAAAAAATTACCTTACAAAAATATAAGTATTAACCTCAAAATACAACATTCGAGCAGCGTTCATGCGATAAACTCTCTTTGTTTTACCACTTAGGTAACATTTATTTCTTTTCCTACCCATATTTACATTTATAGACACTTAAACGCGTATAAAACACTAAATTAACGATTTTCGCTACAGACACATCGACTGTTGTTACCTTACGTCACACGTCGAAGCGCCTGGTAATTTATTACGGCAAACTTTTATCTGGCAATATACGATATTATTATTAGGTGTTTTTAATTAAAACGAATTATGTTAATAAATAATATTTTGTATCGAAAATAAAGATAGCAGGTACCTTCGGAATCACAATACAAACATTTTTACGTAAAAGAATTTTTCCTAAATTAAAATTCACAGAGTTTTGGAAGAACAATAATTTTATATATCATTTCTTAACATTTTTTTATTTGTTGGTATATTCATTTATTTTAAAATTTTAAAATGACGGTGACCTTGTGAAGGACCCGAACAAACCTACAAAAATGTTTTAAAGCTTAGAATTACTTCAGGTCAAAGTTCTAGTCAAGAGAAATACATTAATTTTCGCCAGTTCTCTTCGTATTCGGCCTTAAGTGTCTCCGCATGTGAACTATTTAAAAAAACTATATATTTGATATAAACCTCGAGTTACATTTATCATACAATATTGTTTTAAGATCCAATTTGTATATTCCGTAATTTTAAATGAGAAGTTTTTAAGAAAATGATTAGCTAAATTAGAATGTGACTCATTTGATAGTACTCATAAGTTTCTTACCTATTTTCACTGGGCATAACCTGGAAGTGGACTGAAGGTGTTTGAGCTGGATTTTTCGGCTTTTGAGCTTTTAACTTTTGTCGCCCTGTGTTATCTCTTTTTGTTTCTTCTAATGATGGCATTTTATTTATGGCGGATCTTTCTTCGATTCCAAAATTAGAAATACTGGGCTTATTATAATTTTGCTCGATCAAGCTCAGCTCAGCTGCAGTGTTTGTTTTTGTATCAGACAAGTCCTCGTCAGAATATTTATGCAAAACATTTCTTACGTAGTAATACTTGTTTTTATTGCTCATGTTAATTTGTCCTTCGTCGCTACGTTTTGTCGGTCTGTGTAAGTTGTACGGTCTTGTCGCTGTTTCGTAAAGAAAGAATGTAGAAATTTTGTCGGTGCTGGTCACGTCATCGTTCAGTTCTGTATCAGATTTTTTAGTTTCGAAGGTCGTAAAGTCTTTGCTTAAACTGTTGTGTTTTTTTTCGGTTACGTCAATGTTGGTTTTGTCGAAATTAGTGTGTCGGTCTGTACCGTCGCCTCTGTATGTACCGACGTAGCTAAAAGTCGTTAGTTTATTAAAGTTTTCAGTAGTGGGATTAGTTTTGTCATTATTTACATCTGTATTGTCTTTAGTCGTATTTGAGTCGTAGTCATTGGATCTAGCGGATGAGTTAACGTTGTCTGTCAATTTTGTGTTGGGTCTTTCACGTTTGTACGAGTCACTGTCATCATCAGAGTCGTATCTGTTGTAGTAAGGTTTGTTTGGTCGTCTGTTGTCATAGTAATACGGTCTGTTCGGTCGTTTGTCGTACGTATCGCCGTAATTCTGATAAGTCACCTTAACAACGTCCCTGTCGTGAGTCTTCCTAGTGCTATGTCTCCAAGATTGTGTCGGTCGTGGTACGTAGTTGATTAAGTATGTGTATTTGTCAACGTTTTCGGTTACTGTAATAACTGGTCTGTTATAGGGTCGTTGGTGCTGTAAATTGTTCACGACTAATGATTGTACACTTTGCACGTTGTCGTCATAGTCGTTGTAATTGTTGTAATGATTAGTCGGTTTACGGTGTCTTGTTATGATGCTTTCAAAGTCACTGTAGCGTCTGCTTTTGTTTCTAAAGTCAAGTTTGTCGTCGATTGCTTGTAAGTTTGTTATCGGTTTTGTTGTTGCGTTCATTGTCAGTTTGTCGTCAGTTGTATTAATGTCAGTGTTAGTTAGGTTTATGTCTGTATTGTTAAGTTTGTGACTAACTTTGTGAGGTTTGGTCACGTTGTTCAGTACAGTCGGTCCGTTTTGTGAAGTATTAATTGCCGCAGTGAATTTTTGTCTTTTTTTAGTAGTCAGCGGTTTTACTGTCGTAGTCGGTCGTTTAGTCATAGGTTTTTGAGCAAAAGTGATGTCGTTGTCAGATTTTTTGATGTCGTTGTTTGAGTCTGAGTTGATTTCAACCCATGGAGATAAGTCAAAGTTGTTTAGCAGTCCGTTGTGACAGGAGATTCTCGCGTTGTCAGGGTTGTCGGGTGATAGGAAAACGAAAGGCTGAATACTGTCGATACTGTCAAGGGTACGGCAGAGTACTTGAGCTAACGATATTCGGCGTATTTGCTGTAGTTGTGCTGGAGTGAATGATGATTCGAAACCTCCATTCTCATACCTGGAAAATAGGTAAGCAATTACATATATTTATGCTTTTCGCTTTAATAAGATCTCCGATACATGAAAATCTCTTAGACATTTTTATTGCATTTTGTCCCTTCTGTACATACATATTTTTCAATTTAAGTCTGTCCAGACCGGTGACAGGAAACAGTGCCTAAGCTGTCCGGTTTCCTGTAGTCAATATTTTGCCAAACGCTGTAGTCACTGCAAATTCTGTCAACATTGAGACGCTTTTGTAAACTTTATCTGACATTGGGTGCGTTTGGCAGAAAAAAGCGCTAGCAAGTGCTTGTAAGCAAAATGGCGATCGTAAGCGGTAAGCGCTGTCAAATCGTAAGTAGCTATTTTCCTCTAGGACACGAAGTTAGTTTTAACCGGGGAACCTAACCTAATTTAAATATATGTTTGTAAAGTATTCATATTAAAATCTTACCAATCATGAATTTTTAATAACATGTATATATGTTTATTCACGTCATTATATTACTTAAAACTAATATTGCACAAAACAACTTATAAAATCTACTTCAAAACAAATTAAATAAGCAAAATGGCGGATTGTGTCAGCGCTACCGAAATTATCAAACGTGTCCTGGCCGAAAACTATTTAGTTTCGCCATTTTGCTTACAAGCGCTTGCTAGCGCTTTTTTCTGCCAAACGCACCCAGTATCTACCATATAACTATTGATACTATCATTAAAATATTGTATAAGATTATGTGTTTTATATTCATAGCATGTTTTTACAGGATTTTAATAAATGTAAAAAAGGCTTAATGTACCTTTTTTATTGAATAATTACAAAACATGTTGACTTAATCATCATCATCATTACAGCCCTTCACAAGTCCACTGCTGAACATAAGCCTCCCTCAAGTAATGCCGTAAAGCACGGTCCTGAGCCACCTGCATCCACATAGACAAACGAGCACATAATCCACCTGATGCTAAGTGGATGCTAAGGCCCATAGATCTATCCTCGATTAAGAATCAATATGCCGATACGTTTCCACCTCTGAAGACGAAGATGTAATGCCTCTTTTCCTGTAAAAAGGGTCTCTATTTCTAAACACTCACTGTACAAAACACAGCAGCATTGTTCTGTTTCACGCATGCAACGAGTCGTGAGGAAACCTGCAGGTCTGAGAAATAAGAAAAAAAATTCGAAGACATGCGAAGTTCGCCAACACGCATTGGGGCAGCGTGGCGGACATTTCCTTGCCCTAAAACCCTCTCAGAAATGAGAGGAGGTCTGTGCCCAGCTGTGGGACGTATATTGGTTGTAACTTTACTTTACTTATTCTGTGAGAGCGTGGTCATACTCTCGTCGAGCCGACCATTCGTGCTGCATTTAGAATAGCTGCAATGTAGCTCTACCACGTAAAAAACTTCTTGTAGAACGATACCGATACCTAAGTAGCGACAGATTTGAAAACAGTTCACATATTTAAGAGTAAATTCGAAGAGTTTCCAATTGTCTACTAATAATGCACTTCTCACCAAAATCGATCGCCTTTACGTAGATTTGAGAACTGTTGCGCTATGATACAGGCAAAAGTTGGTCCCACCAAACCTCCTATAACCGGTCTTTCGCCCATACCTCCAGTGAAAAGATCTATGTCATCTATATGTCTGGAACAAAATGTGATGATTTACTTAAAAGTAGAACTTTCCATGTAGTGTTTGCGTTTGTATATTATTTATGATTTTTTATATTTTTGTTTATTAAATGAGAGTTAATAGAGTTAAAAAGCGTTAGTTTTCAGGTTTCGTAGTACGTAAAGCGTTTGATCCTCAAACTTTTCGCTCATTTACCCCTCGGCGGTGAAGGAAAACATGGTGGCAGTGTGCTCTCCTCTGCACAAAATCCTCTCACTTTTAGGAGCATGCGTCCAACAATGGGCGTAAGTATATGAGTTATTATGATTTACGATTTTTAATCCTTTTTCTTTTGAATCTTTGTTTTATACTATGTACTACTTATTTATTAATTATGACATTGATAGTTGTACTTATTTTACTTTTGTATAATTTCGATGGTTAGTGATGGAATATTTTTCCATATGAATCCATGAAATTTACACAGATATTATTTGTAAGCCAGCTTAGTCTTTTGTGAAATGTCAAAACGTTTGTTAAAATGTATTGTGATCCTTGTGGATTTATCTACTCAGATTCAAAATTCTTAAGCTCTCTTAGTTCTCAGATACTTATGTCTACCGCTTAGCAGTAATGCAACAGACAATATAAGACTGTTTTTTTCTATTATTATTACAAATAAGTGTGGCAAATGAACCCTCAGTCCACCTGATGGTAAGTGGATACCGCGGTACTGCCGTAATGCGGCTGCAGCATTGCTCTACCACGCGCCACGTATTTTGAGAGTTTCAAGGACCTCAGAACTTTAGAGCTAAAGTATTTTTGGGTTCCAATATCCTCTTAAAATGGTCCAAGGTTAAAATAAATTCACCTGTACAATTTCTTCAGCTTCTTCACAACTCTCATCGGCATCACTCTGACCAAGTCCTCGAAGTCCCGTATAGCCGACAGACCGCATGGTTCCCTCCAGGTGGTGTACGGAGGCACCCCGTGGTCCCTTCCCCTCTGTATGTTTATGGCGGCTAGGTCCATTCCGAAGTCGAAGTGAGGAGTTTGGAACAGATGGTTGGTGAGTTCCTCTGTGATAAACTCGTCGCGTTTCTGTATGGGTTGGTTGATCATGCCGATCAGCAGCCGGTCCACAGCGCCCATGCTCCAAATGTTTGATGGGTTTGTTATCTCATCGTGAAGGGAAACGTCTAGAAAATACAGCAATTAGAAAACTATTGTGAATAAAATATGTGTGATGTTGGTACTTACAGACAGTGGCGTATATGGCAAGCTTCGAAGTCGACGGAGTCGACTACTAAACATGAAATTTCATTCATTTCCAGTAGTGAAATTCTTTGATTTACGAGTATTTTATATAGGATTGATTTACCGTAATCACCATACTTAGCAAGTGAATAAACGATAGCAATGCTGATGAAAAAAGAAATGAAAACTCTTTATTTTTTTGGCTGAATAAATTAAAATGTCTTTAGTCATACTTCAACATACAAGGTGGAATGACGACCTGGTAAGACATGCAGGAAGTCGATGGATGGAGGTGGCTAAGGACCGTGCTTTGTGGCATTCCTTGGGGCAGGCCTTTGTTCAGCAGTGGACTTGTGGAGGGCTGTGAATGATGATGATGATGAACGTCAACATGTTTTGTAATCTACTACCGTTTCAAAATAGGGTTTCTCTGTCTCTGTAATGTTTTCACACCTTTAAAACTGTTCTCCGTTTTCGGTCCGAGAATTGAAAATTTGGCAAAGACGAGATTGTATATCGGCACCTATAAAAGGCCAAGAGGTCTTTGACATTTTTCTTACGACACGGTACGAAAAGGGGTCGATGAGTTATCTTACGGCGCTACCATATGGCTTACAAGATGGCGGTCCGTTACTTACAAGATGGCGATCTTTTACTTACGAGATGGCAATTGGTATTTTACATCAGAATACTGTTAACATGACTTCTTCTCATGCTATAGTTGCGCCGACTAAGTACGTTTTGTTGTTTTTTTTTTATAATAAAAGTTACAGCTGAAATAACAGTCCTCTCTTGTATAGTGAACTTACTATACTTACTATACTATATACGAGTGGACTCTTGGCACTGATCAAGGAATTTTAACTAATTTCTTAACATAAGGGACACATTGAAAATCTAATTTTACTCATCAGTGGAGTATTGACAGGCTGCAATAAAGACTTCTATGTATACTACTAGCGCGGTAATTTGGAACACTATGTCACAGCTGTGGATTATGCGGGCGGGTAGCTGGCACGGTACATATGCCATGCAGTTTTATTTTCTTTATTACAGTTATTGTTTTAGGCATATATGTAATAAGGTTACATACTCATCAGAAATAAACTTCAAATCATGTTGACAAAGTGCACACATAAATAATGACAGCGTTTTCTTAGTCACATTTTACAAAATCAGTGTTAGATTGCCAAAAACATCGTTCGCGGTTAACATAACAAAGAACTTGTCTTCGTGCTCGCTTGCGGTCGACTAAAGGAGTTACGGAGAATTAACCGTAAATTAGTGCGCAATATATTAAGGCCGCAGAGTCTATTTAGTATACATAGAACTCTTTGAGCTGTAATGAATGAATGAATAATACTCACTGTTGCTCATAGGCCTATGAAACCGGTCGAATCGAACCATGGACGGCTGGACCAGGCTGTGGCCGAACCGGAACGCGGCTGAACCGAACGCGCTCGCCGGGTTGGGGTTGATTTTCGGGTTGTAATCTTTGTAGTATCCTTTTTCCAACAGATCCAGTTCAAACAATCGCATCACTTCCGACCCTATGATGAAACAAAGTCGTTTGTAAGGTGGAATATTAAAACATTTTACTCAAACGCTACTTTGTACAGGTTAATAGAACCACTTTGCAATTTAATACATTTTCAGCATGTTTAGCTAACTTCAAAAATGAAGAAGGTATGTATCCGTACACCACACACATAAATGTGTTGTACAGGTGTACAATGCACGTAGGGGCGAGCTAGAAAATAAACTTCGACATTTCGTCCATTTTTAGCAGTTTTAGCTAACTTCAAAAAAGAAGTAGGTATGTATTCGTGTCATTGACCAGTCGGAGTCACTAAGAAACTCACACATAACAGTTTGAGTTAAAACAATAAAGTAATAATTTCATACACACAGATAAATTAAACAGTATCGCTCAGTGACAGCTAAAACTTGGATACAGACGCTTATCAGTCGGCCGACCGATCTGCATATTGTATGAGGGTGAGCGGGTCTGTGTTGGTAAATATATCCGAAACAATAAGACCGTTATTATTGTAATTTTTAAGTTTAAAAAGAAATAAATAGCAATAATATGATGAGTGACATATAAGAGAAAGGTAACACTATCATTTTGTGATTTTGACGTGACAAGATCTCTTTTTACAACAAAAACTTAATAATTCCGGATTTTTGTAGGACGTTGATCCCGCCGCGCAACTAGATTTAGTCTAGTGAGCACTGAGCAGTGCGGCTGCAAACTGCAATTAGTTTCATTGTAAGCATTGGACCGCGTGGAGTTATACTTTGGCAGAGGGGAAGGCCTGCGTATGGCTGCTCCCTTGAACAAATTAGTGGTTAATTCGTTCAAGGCTGCTTCCCATCGGTCGGCGGCATACACTGGTATGGGAAAACCGGGTGTGTTTCGTCTCACAACTTCATGTTTCTGTTGTTTCAAAATGAATTAAGCTGTAATATTACATACGTACACTTGGATATGTAGGGTCTTTATTGAAAAAAATATTTTGAGCTATAACTTTCTTACATGACAAATAAATAAAACAAAAAACTGCAATTATTTTAAATGTAAATTAAATTAGCCTATATTTTTTAGTTTTTTTTTTCATAAATTTACTTAAAATGGACTGTAAAAATCAAATCAAATCAAATCAAATCTTAATAAATATAAACAAAATTTCTTGAGTTTCTGTAGAACTTTATACAGAGCAAGAAGAGCTTTGGCTTCATCGAACAGTTCCTTTTGTTATTGTTTCTTTAGGGTTTATCAAACTTGATATTTATATGGATCAGAAGTATATAACAATGTATGAAATACATCTTCATTGGTAGCCACTCTTAAACACTTTTTAGCATGATAAAGTCTGAATTGCTTGTAATCCTTATTTCGAGATTCTTGTGCATCTTCAGACAATTGTCCTATAGTTAAAATAGCATAGTACTCAATTACTTTTCCCCCCGTGAATCAGTATTTTATGGACTGACGAAGGCATATAATACCAATTATAAATATTCAGGTACAGTTCAGCTGTGAATTAATAACCATTCCAGATTTCATAGTTTGTAGTAAGTAGTATGTATAGTTGCCGACACGAGTCGTGAGCACAGATAAACTGTGGTGGGAGTTAGGTACACTGTCGGGCAAAATTATTGGATACCTTTATTATTTCAATTCGTAATTGAATATTTTCGCCGACTTTTATGAAAATGTTTACTCGAACACATCATCTTTTACTTTGATACAGTAATGTTGCAGATATTATTATCTACTATAAAGCATTTAATGTATACCTGGTGGTTAGAATTGATTATTTTATTAAGAAGAAGGAAGAGGTGATATGCTTTCCATAAAATCTGGTGTTGCGGTGCGCCGTACAGTAGCTACTGAGACATTAGTCGCCTCAGCAGTCTGTTTACATAGTCTATGATGTTTTTCGCAGTACCTAATTTTTTTCATCTAACTAAACATTGAATAGACCATTTGTAGGGATTGTCTATTTAACATCGAATTCTTTCTTCTCTGCATATTTAGACTAAAATCTGAACACTCAAATCATAACAACAAAAATAATTAAAAACAAGAAATAACAAAAACAATTAATAACAAGGAATACACAAACAACAGTTAACAACGAGGTAAAAACAATTAACGAAAATAAACTAATTAAAAAATTTATCACTAAAATTATTGCTCTGAAGTGTACGGAATCCGAATGATACGTTCGAAACCAATAGACGACGAGAATCGACTGATGAACCAATCACGTTGAACGTCAGCGTGGTCAACGTCGTATCGACCAATAAAAAGTGTGCTCACGACTTATGTCGGCAATTATACATTAGTTTTATAAGTTCTTCAGCTACACCTGTAATGACTGCAGAGCAAGAATATATCTGAAAAAAATTCCCAGCAGTATTCCTTCATTAGAGTTTCCGGTGCCTTGTCGAGGTGTATCGATATGTAGTCCCTAAACTGTTTTTGTACCAGTTTTCCTTTATGTCTTTGTTTTTATTTTATTTTCAGGTGTAATAGCAGAATTTTTTTGAAAAGACAAGTTATAACAAATGTGGAGAATTATCTCCATACTTCTAATCCAAGCATGTAGTGTTGACAGTCCATAATCAAATGAACTTTCGTTTACTTTTCGTGTCCTCACTGCTTCTAAGTAATTCATTTGTCCCAGAGTAGCACCACAAACTGTATAACTAGCACTCGAACTAGTTTCAGTTACAACTTGTGCCACTTTGCTATCAACCATGGCCATAAAAAATAGGTCATGAGTAACTTCGATTCCCTTACTATATTTAGTTATCAGCGAAAGAGACAGGCTTTATGTTTGATTGTTAATGACAGCCACTATAGGCTTTGTTTTTTCAGGAGTTTTTCTTTAACAGATTCTTTCGATATGGGTCCGCAATATTTTACAGATAAGCAAGTTTCATTCTTCCAAGCAACAGTATTAGTTCTCGAATTTATGAGTCTAACAGGTACAAATGAGGTTAAAAGTTTTGCATTTGATATAGAATCGCTTTCTTTTGGCAAAACTTGTTTATATTCACTCTACCCTGATGATCCATCATAAGCCCATTTACAGAATAGTTTCAAGTTTTTTATAGTTTTTTAGTAAACTGAAACAATAATATACGTGCCACACTAAGATCAAGTAAGAACAAGTATATTAGTTATGGTAATGTTTAAATCAGGTGGAAAGGAAACACTGCGCAGTTTTCGAGAAACTCGAAGTGTTCAATACCTACTCACTCTGCTCTTTGTTAAGGTCTAAGTCAATAAATGTCCGTAATGCTTCTTCCTTAGAAAAAGGTAAGACATCAAGATTCTCCAAGATGTATTTAAAATATTTTTTCTTATCATTTTTTGATGTAGCCTCCTCCGTCTCATCCAAAGATCGTATCTCCTGAGCATTCGAGTATGCATTAAGCACACAGTCGAATCCATGCTCTTGTATTTAATTGAAATGTTTTTTCGTTTCTTTGTCTTTTCCCAGCATGCTTCGTATGCTTTCGAAGGCCTATCAACACTATTTACAGAAGTATTAGGTTTATCAACGTGCTCGACACTCAAGTGAAATACGAAATTCTCGATGTAACCATTTTTTATTCTGACTTTCAAATGATCCTTATGTTAAGGATCATTGTATGATAGCTCTCCTGTAACCCCACAACGCATTTGCATTTTGATTTTCCATCGCAGTATATACCTAGATATCTATGGGCTACAGCAACCGCTGATCAACAGGTCTACTGTGTGCTCGTTTTTTATACTTATATTCGATATTTTACTTCCACCTTTTTATCTGTCTAGTACTTTAAAATAGATTTTTTTAATTATTTTTTTAATTAAGCTATTTTCGTTATTGTACACATGTCAGTCCCATTGTACCTTATAACTAAATAACACAAAAAATGTCTTAAATTACTTAAATAGTATATTAACTAAATGATACTCAATTTGAGCAGCACTTGACAATGGTTCAGAAACAATGCTTTGATATTCACATTATGTGACACATTTTAATGTTAGTTGTAGTGACGGCTAGTTTCCTCTCGTGAAAATAGACATGTAGATGTAGAATTGTAGAGACCGCCCAATATACATAATTGTAAATATATGTTACACAAATATAATTAAATAAATAATTACCTAAAACAATTGGCAAGAACTCTCTGTAGCTGATGTGCTGTACCATGGCGCCGACGATCTTCCGCGTCTCCTGGTAGATTTTTTCGTCGCTCCAATGTGGGTTCAGGTGCGCCAGTTCTTGCGCCATTCTATGACGTAGTGTTAAGTTTACTATTTTTTATATAAAAATAAATGTTATTCGAAAACACGTTTAATTCAAAATTTTTTTTTTGTAAAATATCAGTGCCATAGGCTTCTTACTCCGTTCACATGTTATGTTACACCCTATTTTTTCCAGACGGTAAAAAATGTCATCCAGTAGTATAAAATGCAAATGCGACGTCACCTCTGAGGGCTATAATGAAATGCCTCCTTACCAGTAAAAAGGATATTCTGTTCCCATCCTTCACTATACGAAATACAGCAGTATTAACGATTTATGTAATACTGTACGTAGTTCTAACTAGTTAATACACTAATATATACATTGTAAGTACGAATCAACAGATGAGTTATTTGTTATTTTTTGTGTAGATAAATATGATACTAAGGCCCAGTTTACATTTTGAGAAGTTTAGTGAAAGGCAGTGACAAGTGATAAGTGGGAATAAATTACGCAGTGGGAGTAAATAGTGCTTGGAGGGTACATATTTTATTCCCACTTACTTCTCACTGCCTGTTCACACGCACTAAGCCCTTGTCGTTTGTCAGTTGCACTTTCCACTCGCACTGTTCACTTCACAAAATGTAAACTCATTCTTTCAGGATTCAGGAAGGCGGAGGTGTAAAACCGTTGGTCCTGCGCCTGATCTCTTTCTAGTCGTGTCGGATTGCCGTCCCATTACAATGTGGGAATGAGGGAATAGAGAGTACACCTGTGCTTGCGCGTTCACTCGTGTACTATAATCCTATACTGCACAGATGCCTAGTCTCCGTCGAGTCCGTGACTGAAATTTGGTCTGGATGACGTTACTACGCTTCAACGTAGTTAAATGTAATGAAAGCGTTAGTCGGTAACCTGTTGTGTTGCCGCAGCCACACTATGTGCGCAGCGACAAGGCCGGGGTGCTCGTTGACGCGTCCGTCGCCGGACTTGAAGCAGTCCACGGACACCGCACCGCCGCGACACAGCTCGTCTCGCCGGCCGGCTGGCAACACTGGCCGTCGCTGCACCACGTGCCCGTACTGCAACATGCCTGTCACAAACCCGCGTCATGCTAGCATCTCTATCGTTATAGTCACTAATAATATTGGTAAACGGGTTCTAATCATACACGCACGTACTGTGATATGCCTCCACTTCACACCCGGGTCACATTAGCCAGTCTACACTACAATCATTAGCAGTACAGGAGAACGTGTTCCGATCCCACGCGCACGTACTGTTAAATATCTTTTTCACAGATAGAGTTGCAAGATGGTCGGGTTTCGTCTAGATTCTCCCGACATTTTAAATAATCTCCAGACCCCACAAAACTCAAAATCTTCAGACAAACAACTTTTCTTCACATCACAACTGCTTTTTGTTTAATAAAAACTGAGTTAGTAACTCTAATTATCTACTCTAGTTCGGTCAAATTAGACCAGAAAATAAGAGTGAAGATACATAAAGTTACAACAAACATAAAGTTATAACGTACTCATGCATATTATGACGTTTACAGCTTTTACAACTTGTTGAATCGTAATATCTCAGAAACGGTGGTTCGTAGGGAAAAAAGTATTGATACATTTTTTTATGATATACAACTTTTGTGTGGGGTATATTATGATAAAACTTATCGTTTTGCTGAAAATAGCGAAAAACTATTTTTTTACCTTTGACCTTGAGTAACATTTTTTTCCATACACAGGAATGGTGAGGAACTTCAAAATTTTATATATAATTTTATTTTGAACAATTTTACCGATTATTGGCTTGTTGTAACTTTGTGTATCACCGAACGTCCAGATTGACCGGACTACTACCGAACTTTCAAGTAAAATCTTTTCTGAATACTTTTATGAAATCTTTTCTGAATACGACTTCTTCAAATTTTGTTCAAATATTTTGATCCTCCGATCTGGTATTCCTATTCACACACCCTAGCCAGTCTACACTGATGCTGATAATCGATTATTATTTATTGATCCGAATCCAATAAAATTATATTTAAAAGTTGTAAGAAAAGAAAAAACCAAACATTGGATATAGTTTTATATGTAAAATATTCAAATCGGGGACCAGTGTCAAAGTAGCGAAACGTCTTGTGATCCCAGGTGCATTGACGATCGCGTCGTAACTACAATAGGAATGAGAAGATTGGCTCTCTACAGTGGGAAAAGTTTTAGTCCAGTACTGAAATTTTATGGTCTGCTAATGAAGAACAAGAAAATTGTAGAAGTACATTACGTATGAGTTGTATGTTGATAGTTTTATTGCGAGTAACTTAGAAACTCACCGTTTCTAAATAGCCTGAGTTTGTCGGACTGCCTCGCAGAGCTGCCGTAGAGCGGTGAAGCGTCGATGTATGCAGACACCTGGTTGATTGGTTCGCGCCAGCCAAGCGCGCAGTCGTCCCGTGGTGCTGGAGACGAACGTACGAAGTCCAGGCATCGGACTCCTCGCGGCCCGTAGAATGGATCCGAAGCTGGGACCGCGATAGGCATGCACTCAGGATGCTATGGTTGATTGGAAAACATTGATTGGAGTTATCTAAGCGAGTATAGTCTGTTCGCTTAAATACGGTCACCCTTGTAACGCGCCGGCTTGGCACGTGCCGCATCTTGTCAAAGGCGTCGCCACGACATTAAAGGAATTTTAAAACGAAGCGCCTATTTACTATCTAGGCATAGTCTGTTCACTAAGATAATGTCAGTGCACCCGGAGGAGCATATATTATTTTGCTTTTTGTGTTTGTTAAATAAATGTTTTTCTATTCTAAGAATAAAATAGAATATAATTTTGTTCTTGACGAACTGATTGCTCCGTCAGACACGCATACTCGCAATATACATGTACAACTACCAGTAAAGTCCGCTCGACTTCCTGAATTGCAAGGACTTTATCGCCGTAAAAAAGCATGTAAGTGCTTTTTTAGACACTATTAAATAGGGTTCTATAGTAATATATGCCAAATGGTCAAGGAAGTAGTGGCAGCGCTCAGATGAAGGTAAAATAATCTATCACTCTATTTCGTCCCGTAGGTATCGTAAAAGAAGGTGGGATGGGCAATGCTAAGAACGATGGATAACGGTATCTCTTTACATAAGACCGTAAAGTATCCACATCAGTAGAGCCAGCTATATTACGGTTGTAGCACGAATAGTTCGGCTCGACCGAGTAAGGACCACGCTCTCACAGAAAATAGCAGCTTAATGTTGCCGTGATTCGTATGGTGTGTGTAAAGAACGGGAGACCCTTTTTACTCGATACCAGGCATTCCATCTTAGTCCTCACGCATCTGCATTTTGATTTTTAATTGAGGGTTAATGTAGATGTCTATGCGCCACAGTATCTACTTACTATCAGGTGGACTGTGTGCTCGTATATCACCTTAATTATTTTACGTACCTCTACTCTGCCGTATGTCTCACTAATGATAACTGATAAACTTTGTGTGAGCATCTTTCTCATTCATCTTTGCAGTCATACTGATGGTATGGCTGCAGATTATTATTTCTCTATTTTCAGAATTGTAAATTCAACAGTTGCCGATATTATTTTAATCAAAAAATACTTACTGCATTTTTTTTTAGTTTTACGGGCATTATTTAAAAAAAGTTAAGACGGGCTGTCCTTTCTTTCCCAACATGCTATCATCTAAAATCTGCCTTCTTGGGTCATGACTCCTGCCACTAATCTGCTGCCGTTATCATTACAGACCTTCACAAGTCCCCTGCGGAACATAGGCCTCCCTCAAGGAGGTGATGGTTACTCTGGTTCTACTGCGGATATTTCCCCGAGCATGACCTCTCCATAGCTCGCCGAGCGACCTTGAACTTTCTCATACGACCAGCAACGAAGGACTGGCACTGGCTAGTAGAGTACTAGTATTAAAATACTTTTAATCTTACCATAAGCTCTTTTGGCATAAAGTCCCGCCCACCATCCTTACAGCATCTTGGCACTGATCCATTAAAACCTCGGGACTGAGAAGAGGACGTCACATCATGGTCGAGGAACTGGCCCCATTGCATCAATAGATGCGTGATGACAGGATGCTCGACATTCTGGTCTTCATGTACGAGGGAGCTTATCTCACGGGCGGAGGGTAATTTGCTGCCGAAGATCGAACGCCGAGGTTCTTGTATTCCGTCGGAATAAGAAGGCTGAAGGAAACGCTGAACGGGTGTCAAGGTAGAGCCCCATTGTGGACGGCTTAAATTGTTGCAAGTACCATCATGGGTGCGGTATCTGAAAAAATGATTATAATATTATTAATATTATCCAAAAATACATTTACTTCTTACCTATAAGCTTGTTAACAGCTGTAAGTCTAAAACCCCTTTCTTACCTCTCTTGAGAGAGATATCAATAGAATCAAGACATAATTCCTATAATCATTATTATAACTGATCAGTATTGAATAAAATTATTTTTACAGACTTTATCTACTTTAATTTTACTTATTTCTAGGTAGCGTAAACCCAACGTGTGCTATTAGGCTAAAAAAATACATTTCGTTTGTTCGCTAAAAAGGAAATTTGGTTTATTAACTTTTTATTTAGTGCTTAATGCATTGTTTTAGTGGTCCAAAACCATCGTCGCATTATTATTGCCTTTCTTATGAAACCGGTTTGGGGCACATCGGTTGGATAGTTTCAAAGTCTATAACGGACATAGGTGGACGTGACTTGACGAAAGTTAAACGCTATAAAATCCTTAAAAAATAGTTTTATTTAGTGTGTGTGTTTTCGGGTAAATATTAGAAATATTTAAATGATTAGTATCCTAAGGTTATTGGAATTTATTTTTAAAAGGTGAGTATGGAGAATTTTTCGTGTGGCGGTCTTAAGAGGCGACTATGAGAAATGCCAGTAAGATATTATGGGTTTTTACAGATAGCTGTATACCTTCAGATTTACGCCAGATAAAAATCTAGAGCGTAGAAGAGCAGCAGAGTTAAAGGTACAAGATATTTAATACTGAGATCGCCAAGTCGCTTGCCAAGCGTGCCAGTTAAGATAAATTCTCACTACATCGTTAGAGGCTTATGTCTAGCTGTGGACTTCTATGAGCTGATGAGGAAGAAAGATCTCATGGCTTCCGTTAGATGTGGGTATAACTTTCGTTCTCGTTTACGGTAGACGTGAAATACCCATGCGAGACGACTGGTACTGAGATTACCAATCTACCTTCCAAGCATGGCAATTAACAGCGTGGCTCCACATAGTAGAGCCGCGCTGCGGCTATATAATATTTGTAGCACAAATGGGTCGTCTCGACCGAGGTAGGACCGCGCTCTCACAGCGTATAATAGCAGCTTAAGTCTGTTATGTTTCGTATGGTGACCATTTTTACCGGAAACGAGGTATTCCATTTTATTTCTCAGGGGTGATAAGGCATCTGCATTTTGATTCTTAATAGAGGATATATGTAGTCTATGTGTTCTCGTTTATTATACAAAAAGGACAAATCCGCCCTATAACGGGAGAAGTCCATGTCAATAAGTGGACTATTGCGAACTGATGATGAAGGAAACGAGAAAGATGAAATTAGCGATTGTGGTGAAATAGGAGTGATGGATTCTTACGCCACCACACCAAATTGTTTTTTTTACAAATGTCTTTGGCTGGGCCTAGAGCAGGAATGAGCCCAATCAGAACAGCAAGTATAAGTTATGAAACTAAGAACGAATTACCGTTTGGAAGCTGGCGGACATTTTGGCGCGCTTCGATGCGGACACTGCTCCAGCAATGGCGATTGCCGCAAGGCACTTGCGTTTGGAAAGTGTGGTTCTTCTGCTCTACTCTCCAGACTGTCATCATCGTTGCCACTGTAAAAAAGATTTGATTAATAAAAAACAGAAACTAATAAATTGGAGGAGTTGTCCAGTAAATATAAATAATTTCAATAAATTTTTATGTATAATTCTCTCTTTAAATTTTTTGTTAATTAAAGTAATAGACGCGCCATCTAGTTCGTAAATAGAAACCCAAATTCCTGAATCATCTGACTTTACGTCTTTGTCAATCTAGGATCTTTGTGAAAATACGTTATCAACATTACGTAGCATTAGTATATTAACTATATTTTCATAATTTTGTTATTAATATTACGTAATTTGTTTGTTTAGTTAATATTTTTTTATTTGTCATCTATCACTTATTCACTTATTACTGTCATCACTGAAAGTCTGCGTCCCAAAAAATTCAATTCGTGACTGGAAACAATTTTGGTGCATGGTAATTTAAATCTTTAATTGGCTGTGAAAGTATAGTTATGTATTTTGTTTGTTTTTAAATGTCATATTTTATGAAGTAATTAAACCCACGTCTTTGTTACTTTCTATATATTGACCATGTCGTTTAGTGGTCACTGATAAGTCGCGATCGAGTCGTAGATTAGATACCTGCTTACTAATGAATTTTGTTAAATTCTGTACTCCTAGCGAAAAGAGTTTGACAATTAATGTGGTACGTAACGTGTAATACCATTAGATCAATTTCGAAGTAACGCAATGGTGTTTCATCGAAATTTACAATGGTGAATAGCTGAATCGCTTGGTGAATAGAAATTTAAAAAATTTAAAGAAAATGTAAAAATAATAAGTGCACTATAAATTATTTTTATTAGATATCATTATGTAATACGGTGCAGTGACTACATTGTACAACTTATTTAATTAAACTATTTAAAAAGAGGCTTATTATTTATTCCCTGTAAAAGTAAATAAGTATAGATACCCATAACATTACAAACTCGACTCGGTAGCGTGTTAGTTAAGCGTTTGTCTGCGGCGATGAGGGTCGCTGGTTCGATTCCCGCAGAGCTAAATATTTATTTGGCGTTCTGATAATTATTCGAAGTTTGGGTGATGGTCCAAGTGCAATTTATGTATGTCAAACGCTTCCCCGATACATAAGTAATTCTTAGTGTGTAATGTGTATAAGTAAAGTTACAGCCTATATACATATACGTCCCACTGCTGGCCACAGGCCTCCCCTTATTTCTAAGACGGTTTTAGGGTAAGGAAGTGTCCGCCGTGCTGCCCCAATGCGTATTGGCGAACTTCACATGTCTTCGAAATATTTTTTTTTCTTGTTCCTCGGACATGCAGGTTTCCTCACGATGTTTTCCTTCACCGCCGAGTACGTGGTAAAGCGTAATGTGTACTTATACGTATATATATTACCAGGCTAAACTAGATTTTCCTGGGCTAAACTAGTTTATCCTGACACGCGTTGGACCGATTTGGTCTAGGGCAAACTAATTTGGCCTAAAATCGGGTTTGGCCGGTAACGTTTATAGCGTGGAGTGGCGGTGTAAGAATATCGCCCCGTGGGTGTCGTAAGAGGCGACAGATGAGGATATGATCAGTAGCTAGAAAATAAGAAATTGCAGCCCCCCCCACCCCGTAAAGCATTGCCACTATGGGAAACATCCACCGATGAGGTAGTCTAAGAAGAGGCCTATATTTAATGTAGACCGTCATTATATAGATGTGTATTTAAATAAGTATAAACAACCTGAGCGTAATTCACATACGCTACATAATTCATAACATAAGCTACAGATGCGTTGTCACCTCTGAGAACTAAGATGCCTCAAAGACTGGAACGCAGCAGTGCTTGCTTGCATTGCTGTATTCAGGATGGTACCAATCATGACGGACACCTTGGCAGAAAAGGATTACCACCTAGTTTATAATATTTAACGCCGCGCCGCGTTACTTAAACGTAGTAGAGCAATGCCGCCTATAGGTTATAGCACGAATGGGACGGCTCGACCGAGGAAGTATTTACTTTCAGCAGCTTAATGCTGCTGTGTTTCGTATGGTGAGTGTAGAGTACCGGAAACTCTTTTTTAAAAAAAAAATAATTAGGTTTTCCAATAGTTAAAACACAATACATTTGAATAAAAAACATACAAGTTCCAACATGTTTTAAATTAAGTGCATAACTACTTATATATCACGTAATACGTTTAATTATAAATAAGTTACTTATATGTAAAAGAAAAATCACAAAACCTATTTTAAGTTATTTGTTAACGAATTACAGAAGATCTTTTTTGTGATAAAGTCCCTGATCTGCTTTTTACTAGAAACGAGGCATTCCGTCTTAGTCCTAAGGGGTTACAATGCAAATGCATTTTGATTTTTAATCGAGGATAGATGTAGATGTCTATCATATCAGGGCATTTGCATCTATACTCTGCATATAAGGGCGACTGTATGCTCATGTCACCCTTTTCTATTAAAATAACTGTTTATTTGCATTAACTAACTCGGCTGTCAAAGATGTGAAAAATAAAAACAAATTTGTATTGCGGTATTATTATTAAAACGACTTGCAATGCCACAAATAGTCAGAAATTCTAGCCAGATGTATAACGCCGCCCATGACCTGCGGGGAAAGTGAAATTTCACTTTCGCTGGAACCGGCTCGCTCTCTCCGCGAATCGATAAGTGCATATTTACATTTATGTGTGGGAGGTAGCCGGAGAAATTATTTAATTGATTTTAATTCGAGAAAGGTTGCACAAGGTTCATCACTACTACAGCTTATCACAGCTCCCCTACTGATCATGGACCTTTGCCAAGAAATATTACGGTCCTGAGCCACCTGCGTCCGTCAATTTCCTGTATCTCTTACCAGTCGTTATTCTATCTAGTGGAGGGATAGCCTGCACTTGCTTACCGGTACGAGACTGCTTCTTAAGAACCTTTTTTCCTCATTGTTGGTTCTTTGAGATTTTTGGCCGGCCCATTGCCATCTCTAGACCGAATTTCAGTCACAACGGCCAGTCTTTTTTTTATAGGATAGGGTGACAAACGAGCACACAGTCCACCTGATGGTAAGTGGTTGCTGCGGCCCATAGAAATCTACATCTATTGCAATGCGATTGCAAATCAAAATACAGATGCGTTGTCACCCGTAAGGACTAAGATGGTGTGCCTCGTTTCCAGTAAACAGGGTCTGCGGTTCTCTACACTAACCATACGAAACACAGCAGCATTAAGCTACAATTTTACGCTGGTATTCTGTGAGAGTGTGGTCCCTCCCTGGTCGAGCCGACCCATTCGTGCTACAACTATGCTACTAATATAACTGCAGCATGGCTCTACCAAGTTTCAGCAGAGACTAGCCATCTGCGCAGGACAGGATTATAGTGTGCCCAGGTGCACTCTCTATTCCTTTACTCTCGTAGTCCGATGGGACGGTAATTCAACACGACCAGAGACAGCTCAGGCACGGGACCAATGGCTCTACGTACTTTCTTACTTACTTTACTTCCTTTCTTAGTACGTAAGTACTTACTTTTTGGCTATGCGTAAGCACAGGTGTAATCTCTATTCCCTTACGCTTCTAGGCTTTACGTGCTCTCCGATGCACAGCCACTTTCCTAACCCCGGGCTACTATTGAGAATTTCTGGACAAAAAACCCAATAACTGATTTTGGCCTGATGATGAACCCGGCACCTCATGATTAACAATCCCGTTTACGACCACTAAACCAATGAGGCAATCATACATAATGTTGTATGAAGTTAAATAAGTAACTTTATAGTTGTTTCTGTTTCTACGGTAGGAACTAGTGGCCGGCCTTTGAGGGTCAGCAACTCATATCGACCGGGAAAGCCGTTAGCGTTTTTACTGGATTTTTTTTGGGGCTGGAGGAAATTTCCCTTATAATTCCTCAAGGCACTCCCCGTGGTATGCTATAGAAAATGCAGCGATGCAACATCTCTTTGCAAGGAAAGTGGATCAAACCGATCTTAAGAATTTGGGTAATTTAACTTAAAACGGAACGATAAAGTTTTCAGGCATCACGAAAAGGCAAATCATAGAAGCTTTGTGCTGTTTGTGTCTTTTATTGTGCTGTTGCAACTTTCAAGTGACGCATAAACCATGCCAAAACCACGGCGTAACTTATTGTAGAACACGCAGTCAATTACGAAAATTCATCTAAAATCGTTTATATACAACAGCATAACGTTTTAGGTACATATGTGTGCATCCAGCAACTTTGAAAGAGAAAAAAAGAAGAAGGATGTGTGCGTGAGTGCGTATCAAGAAGTTGAGCGGGAGTTTTTACATGACATTTAGACATAAATAAGCATTTTTTTGAGCCGTGGTAGCTCAGATAGTTAGCGCTCTCTTTGAATTTCACGGTACGCGAGCAACAGGCGTTCGATTAAATTCGGCGATAAAAAACGGAAATTGTTAATTGAAATGTTAAGTGCTGATTTAACCACATGCTCGGCGATGAAGGAAAACATCGTGAGGAAACCTGCATGTCTAAGAATTAAGATTTTTTTTAAAGACATATGAAGTTCGCCAACAACCTTGCCCTAAAACCCTCTCAGTAATAAGCGCAGGCCTGTGCCCAGCAGTGGGACGTATATAAAGCTGAACCGATAGTAATGAAACATTGCGAACAGACAGAGAGAAATGCTACGAATGATCGAATGATCTGGACTATATTTTATCCGAAAAACTTGGAGATTTTTTTGATAAATCAAAAAATTGATAAAAGAATAATGATTTCTTATATTTACGCGAATACTACACAATTTTACGGATTCTATTTCGTTTAATTTTACCTTTTTAATTCAAAACTGAAGGTAACCGTGATAATTATGACATTGGGATATCAAACACTTCAGTCATCCCCGTGATCATGGGTGATGTAAAGCATCCGAGTAAAGACGGAAATTCAAAAGTTAAAATTAAAGGCGATAAAATGCGTAAAATCTGTTTCATTTAAAATAAATGGTATTTGATGATATTATCTTAATTCAAAATAACGCCACATTATTAGATCCTGACC